GCTGGGAACAGGCTTCATTAGACCCTCCAGACTTTACCTAATTTTGGTGTTATTCCCTCATCATGACATCATGACTGTGCAGACAGGGTCACTCTCTGCTGGTCGTGGAAGGGATTCAGGTGGTTCTGCTGGGGGCAGGCAGTGTTTGAACACATTCCAGCTGTTTTAGCACTGTTGCCTGGGCTGGCAGTCTCTGGAGGAGATTCTTTCTCAGCAGAGTGGATTCTGCTCTCCCATCAGCTGTGATCACTGGGAATGTGGGAATGCAACAACTGGGAAAGCTGCCCTCCATCCCGGGTGTCAGGGCATCCTCTTCATTCCCTGGAAATGACTGCAGGGCTGAGAGTGGTCCCCTGACTGTTCCAGAAAAAGAAATGCAACTAAAGCAACAAACCCTTGGTCCCCTCTGGGATCCTTTTCCCCAGGAAATCTCTTGCAAGGTGCCTGTGGACAGTGGGAGCAGCTGTGTTCCTTCTCCCTCTGCCTCCCCTCGCAGGGGTTTCACCTGCAAAAAACCCCAAACCAGTGCATAGACTCGAAGGACCCAGTCCTTCTGCACCTTCTCGTGTTTTTCTCTTTCTTTATGTGGACCTGAGGATTTTGTGATAGGTGTTTGTAAACCTGACACTTCTCAGGTGCCCTCTTTCTCCTCTCTTTCCCTCTGCTTTTCTGGCTCCTGCCCTCCCACTCCCAGGAAATATCTGGAAGATAATTTGGCATGTTTTCTGCCACCTTCACATATCTCCCTGACTTCATGTTTTCTTAGCTGGTAGATAGCTTTTCAACATATATATATATATATGTAATCCTTTTCACCTAGACTTGTGAGGAATTCCAGTCTCTTCCAGTGGGAGTTTTCAGGAAGGTTTAGGTTAAATGGGCCAATAAGGCAAAACATGTAGCAGGAGATCTCACCCTCTAAAGACATCTTTTCTCTTTTGCTCTTTTTTTTTTTATTCCCCTGGAAAATATATCAGAATATCTAGCTGTCAAAGAATTTAAACAATAACACCTGATCTGAGGATTGGAGCCCAGGGCCTTTGAAAATGGAGATTATAATCAGTGTGTCCAGGGACAGATGGGCTGGCAGTCAGGTGTTGAGCAGCAGCGTGCTGGGGGATGCTGCTCTGCCATGGGACACTCATTTTATTTACTGAGCTCTCCTGCACGTTCTCCTGGGTTTTCCCTGGCACTTCCATTGTGCCATGGAGTATTTATCACAGGACAGCATTCCAGGTGCAGTTTGAGTTAATGTAAAATGTGTTGGTGCTGGCTGAGCTTTTCTCCTGCTGTGTGTGTTGAGTGGAGACAGGAGCAGCCCCTGGCCCTGGGTCAGCCCCCAGGAGCCCTGGTTGCATCCTTCAGGCTGGGATCCATCCCAGAGGGTTTCAGATGTGCTCTTTAAGTGCCTGTCCCTGCTCCTGAGGGAGCTCAGAGAGATGCTGCTGCACAAAGCAACCTCAGCTGCCAGGGGTGCTGCAGACGGGCTCAGACCCAGCCCAAAGCTGCACTGATCTCTTGGGGAAGAGGGGTCAGGGGTCCCGAGAAACAAGAAGATGTTTCCAGCATCTTCAGACTCAAATTTTGGAGAAGTGGGAACTTGTGTGAGGCCTTGGCCTGTCCCAGGGCAGCTCAGATCCCAGCAGGGATCAGACAGCTCAGAGCTCCTCTGCTGAGCCTCCTGGCCTGCTCCTGCTCCTGGGCTGGGCACAGGATGGATGCTCAGTCCCTGGGCTGGGCACAGGATGGATGCTCAGTCCCTGGGCTGGGTACAGGATGGATGCTCAGTCCCTGGGCTTTGGGCTGGGTGCAGGATGGATGCCCACACTCTTTGGGCACCCTGCCAGGATGGGTGCCCAATCCCTGGGCTTTGGGCTGCCTGCCAGGGTGGGTGCTGCTGTGTTTGCCAGCTCCAGTGTCTCACTGGGTGCTGCTTCTCCTCTGCTGCTGGGGCTGTGCTGTGGCACTTGCCTGGGAGGGATCTCAGCACTGCCATAACCCCTGCAGCCCGCAGGAAAGGTGACTTCCATCCACTTCTCAATTATGACATTATTTTATTAGATCTTTAAACTTTAGTTAAATTTTTTATTTAAAAAGGGGGAGGAAGGTATCATATTTTAATTAGTAGCGGTGCCAAAGGAGTCCTAGATTAATTATTTGAAATCACTCCATCCAGATGGTTTTAATTTTCACAGCAGGGAACCGGCATCTTTTTAAGGTGATATTTTTCAAATTAAAATCAGCTTGGATATTACTCATGCTGGCTGCAGAGCGAGGGGGTGGGGAGCAGGAGCCAGCGTGCCCCGTGTTTGTGCATCTGAGCTGCCAGGGACCTGTGTCACAGGGGCGTGAGCTGGGCTGTCCCCTGGGACACAGCTCACGCTTTTCATGGGCCAGGGGCTGTCCGAGGCTCCTCCTTGGGCTGCCCAGAGCCTGTCCCTGATGTTCAGAGTCACTCTCAGGCTGGAGTGGGCAGGGAATGGGCAGGGAATGGCTCTGAGCTCAGAGGGAGCTGTGCTGTCCCCTGTGTCCTGCCCTGGGGCTTTGGTCACTCCCATCCATGGGCAGCTCCTCGGTGCTCTGGCCGCCCCCCACGGCTGCTGGGCCGGGCTTTGGTGCTGCTCAGCCTTCCCTGCTGTGCTCTCCCTCTGGGGGCTGCCCTCCATCCTCTGCTCAGGGGACGAGAAGCCCTTCCAGAGCCACCTCTAAAGGCAGGCAGTCCCATAAAGGCAGTCCCATAAAGGCAGTCCCATAAAGGCAGGCAGTCCCAGCTTTGCTGTTCAGGTAATTCTGCATTGCCCCTGAGCAGCCCCCTGGGTTTCCTGCAGCGCTCCTGGGGTCCCAGCCAGGCTGCTCCACCTGTCCTGGAGGAGCTGTCCTGTGTCCTGTGTCCTGTGTCCTGTGTCCTGTGCCCTGTGCCATCCCCTTCTGTCTCACCTGTCCTGTGCCATCCCCTCCTGTCTCACCTGTCCTGTGCCCTGTGCCATCTCCTCCTGCCTCACCTGTCCTGTGCCATCCCCTCCTGCCTCACCTGTCCTGTGTCCTGTGCCATCCCCTCCTGTCTCACCTGTCCTGTGTCCTGTGTCCTGTGCCATCCCCTCCTGTCTCACCTGTCCTGTGCCATCCCCTCCTGCCTCACCTGGCTGTCCCTCTCTCAGGGGTCATTGCTGCCTCACAGAAATGGTCACAGGTTTGCTGCAGGTGAGGGGACAAAGTGGCAGCACCCAGGGGTATTTTCAGGCTGCTCTCCATCACAGGTGCCCAAACCCATGAGGTGTTTCTGAAAAACTTCCATAAATATCTATACCTGTGCATGATTGCAAGTAACAACCTGCTGTAACACAGACATTATCCCATTGCTGTCAGAAAGAAGTTTAATTTAAATATCCCCTGTGATAACAGGTTTAACAAATAGACCTAAATAAATGTAAGCAGCCAGTAACTGGAAACTCCTGAACTTACAGATGTGACTGAGCTGTGAGGGGAAAATTGTTTAGGGCCCTTGTGAGTTAAAGGTTTGTGATATTTGCACTGCTGCAGAAGCCAAAAGCTGACTTTACAAGTGGGAAAAATATTAATGTGTTTAAATGAAACAAACTCCTATTTCTATCCCCATGATAAATCCTTACAATGAACATATTTGCTCTTAGAGGGCTTTAAATCTGAAATATGAATGCCAAAAAGAATGTGACTTTTTGCAGCACAGATCAAACATTCTCCAGAGTTTGGCAAAAGCTGCATTTCTGTGCCGGGGCTCAGAACTCCCAGGCGTGAGTATTTCCAGAGCAGGAGCTGCACTTGCTGACACTCACACATTCTTGCATTGTGTTTCAACCATGTCTCCTTCCTCCTCCTCCTCCTCCTCCTCCTCCTCCTCCTCCTCAGTGTGGAGATGGATCTGAACCAAAATGTCCAGGCTGCCTGCTCTGCCTCCCCGGGAAATTCCCGCAGTCCCAACCTCGAGCACGACTGGAATTTGTGTTTAGAGCAGAGATGGAATAAAAGGATGGGCTTGGATCTGGCTGGGTCTCTGAGATGGTGATGATGGTGATCATGGTGATGATAGTGATGGTGATGATGATGATGATGATGATGATGATGATGATGGTGGTGATGGTGATGATGATGATGGCACACAGTTCTGCAGGCACAGCAGTGCAGAGCAGGGGTTCGTGGAGATGATCTGTGCCCTGCCCTGGCTCCTGCTGCAAGCCAGCTCTGGCATCAGTGCCCTGAGATTGGCCACGTTTCTCCAGCTAGAGCAGCAAACCTGGGTCTGGGCTGCCAGGAAGGATTTGTGAGCTCCTGGAGGCACAGCCAGGGTGGAGGAGATGTGCAGGGTGGGTGTGCAGCAGACAGAACCAGCAGTGCCCAGTTTCTCCCTGCTGGCTGTTGTGGTGACCTTTGGGAGATCACTGAGATGTTCTGTGTGGCTGAAGCTCTTCTGTGCAGTGTTTGGGGGCTGCTGGCTCTGGGGAAAGGGTTTTCTTTCTCATCATGCCAGTCTGTCATCTTCATGAGAATAAAATCCGTGTTCTTACCCTCTGAGCCCTCCTGCAGCGTGACGAGAGCACTGTCATTGAACAGGGCAGGGGGGCATCAGCATCCCCAGAGGTGTTAGAAGCCAGGTAGATGTGACAGCTGGGGACAGGGTGCAGTGCTGGCCACCACAGTGCTGGGGCAACGGTTGGATGATCTCTGAGGTTTTTCCAACATGAGCAATTCTCTGGTTCTGTTAACCCCGAGCTGATGCTGCTGGTGAGGTGCTGGGGTCGGTGTGGCAGGCAGAGCCCACACCTGGTTGGTTTTTCTGTGCTAAACCAGCCCTAAATCCGGGGTGTCTGTGTGGGGGAGTGCAGAGGGGGCAGCCCTGGGGGTCCCTGGGGCTGTCCCTGCAGGGCACCCAGCCTGGTGTGGCTCAGTGGGACAGTGCCCTGGGGCCTCTGCACCCTGCCTGCGACCACACTGGTAAATGCTTTCTTTTCTCCTTCCTTTCCAAGCCCAGCTTCTAGTGGAAACAGACACTTTTGGCAGTCAAGTCCGGATCAAAGGGAAGGAGACAGATTTCTACCTTTGCATGAACAGGAAAGGCAAGCTCGTGGGGAAGGTAAGTGTTTCCCATTAATTCATTTGTAACCCGAGTGTTACCTTGGCTGTAATGATGTGTTTGAGCCTCGTCTGTCAGCTGAAATGAGAAGCAGGAGGGGGTGTGGGGTTTGAGGGCGGCTCTCCTGAGCTCTCCATCCACCCCCAGCCTGGAGAGCAAACCCTGCAGGGCTGCTGCAGGTGTGCAGGGGCTCTGCCTCACCTGAGGGGTCACCTCAGCATCCCAGTGCCATGGGATGCTCCACAGCCCTGTCCTCACCTGGTCCTTCATTGGGGGGGACATTCCAACGTGAATTTGCCCCAGAATTCCTCTAGGGAGGAGTTCAGGGCAGAAGGGTGGGCAGAGCCCTGTGCTGTGGCTCCTCCTGGGCAGCACGGAGCTCCTTCCTGCCAGCCAGGGCTGGAACCTGAACTTTGGGGGATGCCCCCCCAGGGGAGGCATGGAACACACCCCGTGTTCACCCCTGCAGCCCAGCTGGGGTGCTGCAGGAGTGTTTTTTGTGTATTAACTTGATTTTGTAATTCACACAGTCCTGTGTTGTTGGAAAAGCTGGAGGCTTGCTAAGCAGGCAGAGCCTGGGCAAAGCTGAAGTGCCACCAAGAAATGAATGTCAAATAGAACATTGAGCCTTCAAACCTCTGCTGCCCTCACTTTGCAGCACCAGGAGCTCAAACCTGGCATCTTTGTGGCTGCTTCTTTGCCTGTGGGGTTTTGGTGCTACATGAAAATTGTAGGTCCTGAGTTTTCTGGTCTTCCTGAGGTTTTCTCTCACTGACCGCTGAAGTTTTTTGTAAAATCACAGAAGTTTTTGGGTTGGAAGGGACCTCAAAGCTCATCCCATCCCACCCCTGCCATGGCAGGGACACCTCCCACCATCCCAGGCTGCTCCAAGCCCAATGTCCAACCTTGGGCACTGCCAGGGATCCAGGGGCAGCCACAGCTGTGCCAGGACCATCAAAGTAAAGAATTTCTTCTTTATATCTGGTATAAATTTATCTTCTTTCAGTTAAAGCCATTACTCCTTGTCCTATTGCAACAGGTCCTGCTGAAAGGTTTGTGCCCACCTTTTTTTAATCTTTTTTAAATGCTGCTAGGCTGCAGTAAGTTCTTCCCAGAGCCCTCTCTTCTCCAGGCTTTATGGTGGAATCATACTACAAGGAGAGACATAAAAATATGAAAATTCAGAACAAGCATGCCAGCTGCTTTTCTGAGATACCTTTTTGTCTTTTTTTAGAAAATCGTTAAATCTGTTCATTTATCTTGCAAACACGGGGGGGAAAGGACTCAAAGGTGCAGTTGTCCCAAGAGAGGCACGATGAGACTTGTGACTTGTGACAAGGGGACAAAGCAGCTCTGAACATTGGCAGTAATTCAGTGCTGGGGCAAAGAGGAGCTGATGGTCTCTTTGGAGGAGCTCTCGAGCTCCTGCCTGCTTCTCCTGGGGATCCTGCTGTGGATTTCCTCTGTGCCTCAGCCTCTCTTATCTCGTGCCCTGAGATAAGGCCGTGGGCAGAGTGGGGATGTTGTGTTTGCTGAGGGCTGCCAAGGGCGAGGCTTTGAAGTCTGCAGGGTGAGGAGCAGCCTGGCCTGAGCTGGGCTCCAGCTGCTCCTGCTGAGCCCACAGCACATGCAGCCCTCTGCAACTGCAGGGATTGCCTTTCCCTGCCCATCCCAGCCCATCCCAGCCCATCCCAGCCCATCCCAGCCCATCCC